TGTCACAACTGGTAAAGAAACGTCAGCAAGCCGATCGACAATCTTGATAAACCGACTGAAAAACCACGTGGTATACGGCCATGGCTACAATTACGGGGCGGCTTGTGACAACTTGGACTCTTAAATGCCAAACGTAAAGGGCACGTTCTTTTTCCATCCCATGGAAAACTAAAACTAGCACCAAATGTGATCCAGAAGTATTTTACTTGCTTGGCAACGGCGCATAGGTTTGACATGAACTCCCATTCAACGCATTTTGTTTCTCTGATACTGTTTCGTTTCCTGTTTGTACAATCACATGCAATAGGCTACTCACCCGACCTTTCGTTTTTTTTGTTCAAAGTCGAAATGGTGAAGAAAGTCTACATGACGGCTATAAGTCAACTGCTACAGTTTGGTTTGAATACCAATCACGTCTCTACATTCACACCGCACCGAATCAATACCGAAAGTGAACTGTACTCATCTCTGAGTGAAGTTCTATTCAAATAACTGAGTGATTCTTATACTGATCTAATGGCATGAATCGATGGCGCACAAGCAGTACTCTTGATAAGAGAGGCGAATGACAGAAAAACTTCCAAAGTTAGTACAAATTGACATTTTTTAAAAACAGGCACAAAAACTCACCAGATGCTGCACTGAAGACGACACCAAAAACCAGGGCCACAATAAGGCTTACTGGTGTGTAGTAAAGATACGATATTGAGTAGAAAGTTCGGGTTCCAGTCGCAACTTGTGTGATGTTGGTCACATTCATCGAGCAGTTGACTGTGGATAGGGGCAGAGATGGCACCGGAGGTGGGTACACAATCGCGCCTATACATAGCCAGATACCAACGGTTAGGCTGGATAAGAGAGCTGCTATACCACCCTGGAAAAAGGACAGCAAGGAAGACTCCCCAGCATTATCGAGATAACGGTTAATTTCACCCAGTTACTCAAAACATCGTTTGAGAATTTTATGAACTTTAAGATGATTGGTAAAAGGAGACGTAGCTCAAGCAATCAATAATACAAGTGAAAGGAGAGAAACCCTTCGCTGCAAAGTCGAACTGAGCAGTTACAGTGTCTTGGACAGGAAAGTAAACATCTCATATGCACATAGCCTTCAAAATGTAAACATTCTCTCGCGATCTCTTGAACTTTCCTGGATATTCATTGACTATTACACAATAGTAAACGAACGCCGCAGTGCGGTTCCGCAATAAACTCCACCTTCCATCAGAAGCTTGGCCACTGTCCATAGACTACCCGCAGGATTCATCAGTAGTATCCTTCGTTATACAAGTATCCCAAACCGGAACTCAATGCCCTAGTAATTCTTCCATACAAAAAAGGCAAATCAGTGAGGATGAAAGAATTGGTTACGTCGGTGAATGAAGAACGTTGTTGACCACATCAATCGAGGAACTAATCAGGATATTTTGAAACGTCGACTTTATTGAATACCTTACATTTCTGGTAAATTCTAAGATACCTTACAGCCAAATATTCGAAAAAGTTAGTATGTTTTACCGTTGCTTCCCTATTCCTCCAGTGCTGTGGAATGTATGCTGATTCATTTGGGTACTCGTTAGTAGTGAAAAACAGCAAATATTTCAAACCTCCAGAACGTGAAGGCTGACCATCACGTGACAAATCCAGACTTGCTTGAATCCAAATATACAGCGATTTCATGAAGCGAATGTTCAGGTGCAGCCAAGGAACGTTGACGTTTAGTCTACTTGTTCTCCTGATAGTTCAAGTTGTGACGATGATATGAACAGCCGTGCTCCGGTCCCTGATTTCGAAATGTCCACGGCCGCAATAGCGGAGTTGACCGCAGAATTTGAATCTAACAGCAACAGGCGGAAAATGGATGTCCGTTTTTAGGCATAGACCTAGGAATCTAGAAACCGCGGCCATCCGGCTAGTAATTTAATCACAAATGACCAACCACAGATATGAGTAAATCGCATTTGGACGGGATATGATGTTAGTGATTCCTAAACCATGGATTATGAATCACGTGATCACAGATTGACTAACTCCTCTGGTGTCGACTACTCAGATGAAGGCTCCAGTCGTGATGTGAATTATTCTCACTTTTGGGCTGCTTGAGGTTTATTGACTGTTTGAAGGGATTTGGGAACCGCCAAAGATAACCTAGAAGCAAGAATAATTCGCACGGTGAGTGATTGTTCCGTTGGATAAGTCAACACTCGAGGAGGAAATCGACGCGCGATTGGGTGATGTGAAATCCGTGACTGAGGAGACCTTTGTGAGCTTCAGAGGCAATCTAGACATTATTCATAGACACACAGGGCAACAAGGCATAAACTGAACATACGTATTGGTTCACGCAGGGCACAAGAATTCCAAGAGTGAAAATAGCCAGGATGGGACCACCGACCGCACCAAACAAGCCGTAGGCGAATGGCAAAATATTTGAGCTCATTAGGTCGAAGAGGAATGCTAGTCCAACCGTGGATAGACCGACGATGGCAGCTAAAATTGAGTGATAAATGGATCTGATTAGTCTCGGAACATCTTCTAGAACAGCCTCTCAAAAACTACATGGAGTTAAGTGGCTGGATGAGGCCAGTGATATGATGAAACAGAGCATGGGTGTTCTCCCCTCAGATGATGGACAGACCAATTCAAACATAGATTCAGTTCTGCAGATGGGCACCAAAAAAGGCCAATCTTGACAAACAGAACTTTGAGTCAGCCATAGTGAAAATAGAACCGCGGAATGCTAAGAATCGGTAAAACTGATGATATCACAACCTTCTAGTGAACAGTCCAGAGGCGTCAGACAAATCAATCATATCGTTAAATCGATATGAACACGTTCACTTGGTCAGAAGCGGTAATTCAGTGTGGGCTCGTGAGGCGGTCGTGAAACGTTTCCCGTATGTCGATTTTCGAATTCCAAACTTCGACATGGCCAAGGATTTACACTGCTGCTAAGCTCTAACGAGGGCAAAGGTCAAGTTCAATGGACTTAGTAGAAAAACATGGCTCTTCGTTTCTGAAGTGGGTACACGCCGGGTACCCATGACTTTCCACACATCCAGACCTTAGTGACAAAAATCTACAAACGCTATTCGTTTGTTTGAATATAAGAAACGGGATAAAACATATGGTGGGAGTCAAACTTCTTCTGAGACAAGTACGAATTCGAACGATTTGGCCCACCTTTTCGTCGTAAAGGGGAAGTCGTGAACGCTGCAAACAGCTCAAGCAAGTCATCAAACTAGAATTCAGTGTCCTTAACAAAATTTGCATTAGTGTGGTCTTTGGAAAGGAGAGCTATGTAGGATCTCATTGGGCCCCATTGGACCCCGGTTCGCATTCCTGCATGGGTAAACTGGCTGCCAGCAA